CAGCAGAGACTCCGGCAGCGGCAGCAGGGACAGTTCCCATGGAGGGGGGAAGCAGGGGCGGCTGGGCCTGCTGTGCAGACGGACAGACAGGCATCAAGACGCCTCCCACGTCACGGCTCTTCTGCCCCCACACTGTTTGGCTCCCAGCAGTTTTGTCTGCAGACGGGGACCCGGCCAAGTCTGTACACCCAGAGCAGGATTTTCCAGCTGGCGGCCGCTCACGAGTGCTGTCCCCCAGGGCTGGGGACTGGGGCCACTCCTACTGAAGTTCTGTGCTTCTACGCTTCTACGCTGCCATATCCATTCCAAGTCCATCCCGTATCCAGAGCCCAACCCATATATATCCCATTTCCCGATATCCCATCCAGTATCCATCCCATAACCATATTCCTGCACCCCACATCCCAATCCCACATCCTGTATCCCACACCCTATATCCCACATCCCAGCCCCACGTGCTGTATCCCACATCCCAATCCCAATTCCAAATCTCATTCCCCATCCCTCATCCCAACCCCATCTCACACCTGTCAATCCCAATCCCTCATCCCAAATCCTGATCCCAATCCCAATCCCACATCCCATCCCCTACAGCAATAGGGAACACTCCGAGCCCCGCCCCCACCGCAGCTCCGTCCCGCCTCCGAGCTCTCATTGGTCAGGGGCAGTTCCGGCTCATTCGTGCCTCTCATTGGTCAGCGGCAGCGCCGCCGGCTCCGATTGGCTGAGGCGCAGCGCGCGGGAACGACCGTCGGCAGCCGGCTCTCCCTTCGGACGGTGCTGGTCCCACAGCCGCTGCGCGCCGGAGCTGTCCGGGCAGCACCGAGACGGAACCGCGGCACGACGGGAGCGGTGCTGAGGACAGCGGCGCCGGAGGTGCGCGGGAGAACGGCTCCGGGCCGGGGCCGGGGAGAGGAGCCGGCAGCGCTGCTCGCGGTGCCCCCCGGGGCTGAGGTGGGCTGTGGGTGCAGAGGGCGGTGGGGGAGATCCGGGGGGATGTGGGAGTTTAGAGGCTGTGGGGGTGTTGGGGGGTATTGGGGGATTTGGGGTACTGTGGGGCTACAGGGGGGCATGGAGTAATGTGGGGATATTGGGGGCAGTGGGGGGTCTGTAGGGGTGGATATGGGGGGATATCGGGGGCTGTGAGGAAACAGGAAGTTCTGAGCGGAATATCGGGGATGATGGGGGCTGTCGGGGGCTCTGGGGGATATGGGGTATAGAAAGCTGTGGGGGACTATAGAAAGGGTTCAAGAGGGGGCTGTCGGGGTGATATAGGGGACTGTGGGGGACTGTGGAAGGGTATAGGGCCGATGTGGGGCTGTGGGTGGCTATAAGGGCTGGGGGGGCTGTAGGGAGGGTTTTAGGGCTATAGGGGCTCTATAGGGGGCTATTGGGATCTGGGGGGGGTGATGGGGGAGAAATGGGGCTGTAAGGGGCTATACAATTCTATTGGGGAGGTACAGGGGGGTGTGGAGGGATATAGCGAGATATGGGGCAATAGGGGGGGTGTTATAGGGGGATATAGGGTTATAAGGGGTTGTGGTGGGCTGTGGGAGGGTGTTTGGTGTGATAGGAGGCAGGGGGCTATAGAGAGGGATGTTGTTCTATAAGGGGTTATGTGGGGAGCTATGGGGGGGAAATAGGGTGGCTGTGGGAGGTTATTGGTGGATAGAGGGAGAATGGGGCTATAGGGGGTCTATGGGGGATATGGATCTCTAAAGGGTTGTGTGGGGCCATAGGGTGATACGGGGCTGTAGGGTGGGCTATAAGGGAATGTGGGGCTAAAAGGCTGTCCCTACCTTTGCCCCCCTATCTTTGCCCCCTCCCTTTCTCCCTTCCATACCAGGGTGGGTGAAATGCTGGTCATGAAACTTAAATCAGAATTGAAGTTGTATTGGAATAGAATATGATTGTTCTGTGGTCTTAAATCTGAAACGTGTTTTCTCCTTAGATGCAGGTATTGTTTAATAAGGACTTTGGAGAAGGTTTCAGTATGAAGTCTCCTGGTCAGGAAGAAAGAAGAATGTTTTTGGAGGACTTAATCACGAGTGGAGCTGCTGCTGAACCTCACTTGCAACCAGCAAGCAGGTGAGGATGTTGTGCATCTCAGCCTTTCCTCACTGCAAGGTACCAGCGATTCAGTCTGTGCTGTGCGGTGATTTTCCACCAGCACTTCTGCTTGTCTGTGAGCACCAGGCATCCGCTGACGTTGTCTGGTGGCTTTAGGCTGGGCAGACATGGGAAGCACTGGCTGCAGCAGCAGCAGCTGAGCTCTGTGTGCCAGAGGAAGGAACGCGGCGTCTGGAGGAGCAGGAGGAGGAGAGCCTGCGTGACTCTGCGTGTTCTGCAGGGCCGTTCCTCACAGACTGCCACTGACAGACGTTGGGGCACTGCAGAGCCTGTTGGTGCGGAGGAGGTAAAGTGGTGTTGGTGTGTAATGCCATTTGATCTGTGTGCATGCAGAATGGTGTCGGAGAAAAGACCACGGGAGACAAGTCTCATGCTATCATGATCAACAGGTCTCAACTTAATTAAGTATATCGTGGCTATTTATACATGAAATAATTAGCTCATACATATTGCAAAAGCGAAGCTCATGATTGGAAATTCCTCTAATACCCTTGAAGTGGCATTTGTCTGCTTTATTGTTAAGCACTACTCTCTTTATACATGTTAACAGAGCATTCTGCAAAACACTCCTTAACCGTTCACACAGGTGCTTAGCCAATCAGAGCCGTGAGATGTTCTTTCTTCTTCTGAAGGTGTCCTTGGTTCTCATGCCGCTTATCTTGCTCCGCAGCTGCTGCTCTGTGCAGTTCCCCGACTCCAGAGCTGCTGCTCTGAACAGTTTTTCCTTACGTTCCCACAGAATGGCCCCGTGTTTGTATTTCTCAGTGTTTGTGGCCCTGCTTTTGTTCAAAGATGTCAGACCTCTGTGCGTCTTTGCTCCCCCTCCAGCCGGTTTGAAGAAGTCTCCTATTGGAAGTGTTTAAGATGGTGAATTTTGCTAGACAGAGCGCTTGTTTAATCCAACCTCTTAACTGCAAGGTTTGTTCTGCAGGTCCTGATGATGGCACAGGCATTAAACAGCCCAGAACTCGTCGCTGGGGAGAGGCTGCGCATTGCACCGTGAAGGGAGAGATGCAGGAGGGGTTTGAACAGCGTTGTGCAGGAATGGATAACTGGTAAGAGAAGAGGTGTGTGTTCTGAGAGCAAGGGCTGTGCGGCTCATCTCTGTGTTCTCCCAGGAAATGCAAGGCAGAGCTCTCTGCTCTCTGTTCTTTCTTGCAAGGCTGCGGCCCTTCAAAGTGCACTGTGGATGGGCGGCGCGATGACAGCCCAAGGATGGCAGCAGGAGATGCAGCACAGCCCTCTCCAGCAGCAAGGTGCATTGGTTTGTCTTGCTTATTCTTGAAGTAGAAGGTGTGTTTAGCTTCCACAGTCAGTGGCTTGATAGCATGTTTAGAAGGCTTTGGGGCCCTTCCTCCGTGTTACTCACATC